TTTATTTATTTATTTATTTTCTTTCAAGAATAATTTAAATATGGGTTTTCACATTCATAGAAGATGGGATGTTGGAAAAGGGCTAGGGTGTCAAGATGGCGGGACGGGAGTTGACTGGGGAAAGGGTGGTGGAGACAAGGTTTGAGGGAGTCAATGAGCTAGTAGTGGGTGTGATGGAAGAGGAATGGTATAGTTACAAATGACAGCAAATAAGAGTTACCACAACGGCAACCCAACCTAGTTGACTGGAGATCCCAAGATCTAGGTTCAAAGGGACAACCGAGTTGTGATTGACTCAGAAGGATCATTGTGGAGTCCAACTCCTACCCATTTCTATGATAAAATAAGTGATGTCTGCAGCGTTTGAGGTTAAGTAAAATTTTAATGATTCTTATATCTAGGTAAACCTAGTGGAGTATGGCAGGATACTTTTCATAAGAATCACCTATGTGAGTGTGAACTGGGCCGGTTCTATAAGATTTGTGAAGGGCTACAAGTCTTTAGAGCACTCATGAAGACCAGGTTGTTCAGGGCCAAAATGAACACAATAGTGAGAACTAAACTGTGTCTGGAGATAATCTGTGTGAGTTCTATTGTCTTGGTTTACACAAACGGCTGAACAGTTCAAGACATCATGTTCACTGTCTAGCTAGTAAATCCGATAGTGTCTCACAAGGGAAGGTTCAAAGCCAAAAGCTACCTATCCTTTGCAGAATATTTCCAATTTCTGTACTCTCTGATTAGATCATGTTGCTTCATTTTCTCTCCGTCAAATTCCATTCATGTGGGGGATTGTTGGAAAAATGGTTTAATATAGGCATATTTTTTAGCTCAATTTGAGGGGGTCCCAAACGTCTTTGGGATGGGTCCGAAGAGGTGACGTGTTCCTTGCCGCGTGGCAAGTCATGGTGAAGACGGAACGTCAAAACCATTTATGAGTGAATGGGAAGTTAACGTCGTTTTCGGATCTAACATTAATTTTTTAGATAAAATTCATTTGAATTTTTTCAATAAAAATTATTGTGGGAATTTAATTTAATTCTAAATTCAAATTTTAGATTCCTAAGTGGTTTCCTAAAATTCGTAATTTTGAGAATTTAATTTAATTCTAAATTCAAATTGTGATTTCTTAAAAAATGATTAAACTATTCAAAATAGTTTAATAATTGTTTTCCATTAGTTTTATATATATATATATATATATTTCTAATTGTTATTAAATAAAGTTCCAAAGCTGTTCGTGCGTTGCGTTTGACCAACGGACACTTTTTTGAAATTTTGGTACAAACCGTCAGATTTATTTGAACACTCTTGTGCACCTGTTCTTTAGATAATTGCATCCGTTCATTTAAATTGGTTGCACCGTTGAGGGACTTTGTTTGCCTATATATACAAATCTTTTTCAGCAGTCCAGGGATCCGAACAAATCAGTCCGTATATCTGATTTTGCAGTCTGAAAAATAGTTTGATATTTTGTCTTATTGTTGTCCTATTTTTCTCTAGTGCATTTATTCTTCATATCTAGTTTTAGAATAAATTAAAGAGAGTATAGATCACAGGTTTGGTTCGCCGAACAAATTTATTTGAAGTGCTTCTATAAATTTGTGAAGATCATTGTATCCTGGGAGATAGACGCCACTCAACCGTAAGCACCACAGCGGGGCGAATCTGTCTTAAGGACAGAGTGTCACACACTCGACTTGGTCTTAAATTATTTATTCGGTTCAACGAAATAAATTCGGTATGTTATTTATTTATTTTGTTTGAATTTTTTCAAATTATTTTATTTACACAGAAGATTGATCCAACATATATGTCATACAAACAAGTGTCCACAACAAACACTTTTAATAACAAACCAAGATTTTGCAAAACACCTCCATTACTACAGTAATTGTATATTCCTTTTCTCCACACAGAAAAAATCACGTTATTGAGGGAAATTGGATTTTGAAATTTATAACAATACGATATCACTCAAACTTGCTTATCAAAATATCTTTATTACAATGAGTTATAATGGTGAGTAAGAAGAAAAACAAGAAGGTAGTGAAACAAAAACTACAGAAGATCTATTGTAACATGCTTTCCAAGAAAAATTAGACGAGCTAAAGTAAGAATTGTCTTATCTGTTGTGAAGTTCAAAAAAAACAATATATCTCATGCACACATTTTAATCAAATTACAAGGAAAAAATCAAATGATACCCAAACATTATAACACCAACTCAATGATGCAGAAAATAAGTACGTCAAATGAAAAGTTTTGATCAATTTTTATTATATGCTAATTACTTACAGATAACATAAATTATGTAGCTTGACAATTTTATGAAAGTGACCCTACAAACACTTATAAGTATGGATCTATGAATATCATGAAAACAATTACGAAATTTCTATATGGATCGAAATAGTAAGTTACAATATCATTCAATTTTTTAAAAAAACTATTCTTCATTTTTTACATAAATGAAAATATATTAATGACTAATGTTATATTTTTCATCATGCAAAATATTCGTGGCACAGGAGATAAAACTCAACAACTCTTGATATATAAAAATATATTACATATTAATATTAATATATTCTTACACCAATAGTATGTAAATGATATGCAATAATGGGTTTAATGAATTTATATTATGAAATGAACTATTAAACAAAATTATATTATTGTGCAATTAATTTTATACCTTCAATTGTGTTACAGATTATGAAAAATTAACGTGGAAAGTTGATAAAAAATGTTTTGTGTAATACTATATATTTAAAGGATATGTTTATTGTTTAAGATAAAACTGTGATATTAACAATCTAACTATAAATTAATGTTTATGTTAAAAAAATTTCTCATTTATCATTAAATTCTTCATCCGAGTATGCATTCATTTCTTACTTACTTATATTTTAGATACATATCAATTTACCCATACGAGTCTCTATACTTGTATACATATCATATACCAATTTAAGAAACATGCATAATTACAATCCTAACAATTGATGAAAAATCTCGTCGCACGTGCTCAACCACTAATATCAACAAAAGATGGAAAAATTTATTTATAGAAAGGATTTTTTTCTTCAAAAGAATATATAAATAAAAAGGACATCTGTTTTTCTGTTCTAGTTCCATGGGTGACAAAAAAAAATACAAGGGCATAAATGCTAGACGAAAGAAGAGCTCAAGACTATTCAATAGAAAATAATGGGGCTAATCTTACTGCTGGTGTGGTGACTTTTTGTGTCAATGGAGAGTTGGAAATGGTATTCGCCTGAACGTACTTTCTTAAACTAGTCACTCAAAAACGTATACCCCATTCTTAAGCTAAGGGCATCGTGGTTGAGGCACCATCTTCTTTGTGGTCGCCAAAGATCCGTTGCCTGAAATCTGAGACCATTAGAGGGAGACCCTTGCGAAGGGACACTTTCGGCTCCCAACCTAGCAGGTCTTTGGCCCTTGTGATATCAGGCTTTCTCTTGTGGGGATCATCCTCTGTGTTAGGCCTGAATTCTATCTTTGCGTTCGGGTCGATTGTTTCTTGGACAACCTGAAAGCAACATAAAAATGAATAGAATCCAACAGACATTAGTTTCTGTTCCAGACCTTAACAAGTACTCATAAAAGGAGTATGGGGTAAACCTTATGATTAATCCATTAGAAATAAAGTCACCAGTTTTATTAAATCATAGTTGAGTGTTACATGGAAGAATATAGAAGTTCCACAAGCTAGAGGGTGAAGTCTCCTTGGCATCTAGTTTTCCCATCTTTTCTTTTCCTTCTATACACATACACAAACATATACACACACACATATATATATATATTGCATCCACCAGTTTATCTTCTATGAAAACATCACAAGCAAATCTTACAGATTTTGGTAAAAGCAGATGTTTTAATTCATGTTTTTCCAACGGCCAGCTAAAAGGGGGAAACATATATCTTGTGATATGTGGCACCCTTCCTAATATAACAAGTTACAACTTTCTCTTCTCTTTTTTTTTTTTTTTTTCTTCAACTACTTTCTTTGGGCAGCCGTATTCACACTGCCATTTATTAACCACAATCATGCCCTTCTTCTAATTTTTACTCAGAAACCATCAAGGGCATGACTGTCTTTTCACACCTAATAAGACAAGTTACAACTTTCTTCTAATATAACAAGTTACAACTTTCTATTCTTTTTTTCAACAACTTTCTTTGGGCAGCCCTATTTACACTCCCATTTATAACCACAATCATGCCCTTCTTCTAATTTTACTCAAAAACTATCAAGGGCTTGATTGTCTTTTCACTCCTAACAAGACAAGAAAATGAGTGTATAGGACAAAAGAGGGGTGCAAATAGACCTGCCTTTTTTTTTTCTTTATTATTATTTTCAATTACTTGTTTTACAGCCTTATTGACCTAAAAAGTTTTGCCAATTTATGTATTGGTATCATTTTCTGCTTTCATACTAGCTGTACATAATAAAGAATCGAAAGGGGAACCCTCTGCATTAATGCATTTTTCTAATTTAAATCATTAAACCTAGTTAAGTTCTTATTTCCTCCCGTAAATATAAACTGAATAGGTTTTGAAAGACAAATTGATAAACACGGAGTAGGAAAGCTGAAATATTAAATTGTAAACTACTCAGGAAAATCACATGCCTAAACTAAATAGATATTAGTAAAACTGATACCTGAGCAAGTTCGATCATGGTAAATTCACCAGGGTTTCCAAGATTGAAAGGTCCTACATGTTCTCCTTCCATCAGGCGCATCAAACCCTCCACCTTGCAGATGGAAGACCAACCAAGAAGAGGCACCATCAGCCTTTATTTTATAAATAAGAATCCTCAAATAGTAGTATCAAGTGCAGATTTGAAAAGAAAAAAAATAATATGCTAGTTTTACTTTTGAGGGAAGACAAGAAAGAAAATCCTACCCCAGATACATCTATGAATATTAGGGCTTGTTTGGGAATCCACAAATTTGATTGAGTCTAGTCTAGAACCAAAACCCAATTGACTAGAATGGTGGGGGCAGATTTTAATTTGAACCAGTTTCACTCTATGAGCTGTTTGGTGAAAATAAATTTCTAACGCATTATCCATGTGCGCACACACAAACACATTTAGAGAGAGACGGAGAGGGAGGGAGCTAAATTGTTCAATTCTATTTTTAGATAAATTTCACTGTAAGAACTCACCATAGAGCAAACCATTCTCACCAAAACGTTAACCAGAATCAACCTAAGTAGGAGGAGAAAAAGGTACCGGTGGCATAACCTTTTTACATCCACAATATAATAAATATTAGTAGCCTTGAAGTTCTATAAAAATTGAGGAAGCTTAAACCACCAATTACATAAATACATAAAGGAAATGAGTTGAAGAAGAGCTCCATGTCTGCAATTCAACCAAGCAGGTGTTGAAATAGTAGACGAAAGATAAAAAAAGGTAGTCCCTAGAAATACTCAAAGGCGGTGGCCCCATGAACTTCTATATCATTTTTTTATCCCTCAAGTTGGTTTGGTTAAGATAATTAATTACTTCTCTATAATAGAATATTCTTTGCATACATGGTAAATGCTCCTACAGTCAAAAATTGGTGTAAATGGTGAAAGTTTAGACGCTAAGCTTTCCCATATATATATAAAATGGTTGAGTGAGAGAGACACATTAGGAATGTGTAATGCAGCAATTAAATTTTTTAAAGCTTCTTTTTTAGATCCATCCAGTATTGAAGAATTTATATATATATATATATATCATAGCATGCCATGTTTTAAACAAGAACACTATATATACATAGTGAATAATTGCAAAAGTACTATTCCAATGTTTGCATTCAATCATGCAAATATAGACAAATCAGTTACATTTTATATATGAAGTAGGTATTAAACATATTTATCTCAGAGAAGTTTGAAATTCAAATGAAGAAAAAAGTAAGAGCTGCATGCCAAATTGATAGAGACCCAATAAAAGTAATGATATTAAGAGAAAATAATATCTTACCAAATCCGAAACGTATTGGAAACTCCGTGTCTGCTTGCCATCACCATAAACTGTCAATGGCTCCTTCCTCAGGGCCTGCATTGTCATCATGGTTATAATAACAATATTAAAAAAAATTACATTACTAAAATTATTTTATCAAGCTATGTATACTTTAATTATTAGTTTCATTCAAATTTGAAAGTTTCAATTAGGTGTATTATTTCCTCAATTTTGACCAATTACACCCGCGGGGGGGGAATCACAGCATATTCTATATTTTTTCCTTTTTCTTCTTTTTTCCCTTCCTTTTTTTTGGGAAGAGAATGCTATCTAAAAAACAAATAGATAATGAATAGTAAAGAACTATTTCTTTTGAACAACAGATTTCTTTCGCATATAATGCATCTCAATAACAGCGAATAACCATATCCTATTTTCACCATAAACTAAATGCCTAGAGATATATGTACCTGAGCAACAAAGTTACTGACAACGCGGCCATCATCAATGCACATCCGAGGCCCATATGTGTTGAAAATCCTAGCAATCCTCACCTGTTACACAAATACGGTACAAATAAATGCGCATTATGCATAAATAATTAGTATACAGTATACAAAAAATAAGATTAGTCATTATTGATTTAGTGTATTAAGTAAATTAGTAAATTATCAGTGAACTGACCTCAACTCCAGCACCGCGGTGATAGTCCATGGTCAATGTTTCAGCTGTGCGCTTTCCCTCATCGTAGCAACTCCGGACTCCTGTCATCACCACACAATATCAATCACGCCGTTTGTCAATCAGACAATCTCACAATAATAAGAAATACTTTTTTCACCCACCCATAAAAAAATTAATTAAAAAAAAAAAACAGTGAAGTGGAGACATTTAAAATAGTCGACTCCATTGTTTTAACTAATAAAAAAGACGGGTAATCAAACTTGACTTTAAGAGTTTAAATGGACCAACTCCCTATCTGTCAGATTGCGACTTGACTTCACCTACAAAAACGCGGCTCCTGCCTAATTCCATACCAACAATGCTAACTACGCTTCATTTTCAAGTTTTTTGTCACGCTAATGTTGTGTAAAATTCTTATTTGATTTACACTAAACTTCTCAATATGAATTACATCTGACCCGTGCAATAAGATCTTGTGCCCACTTTTTATATTTTAGGAGAAATTCCAAGTGATTTCTTACCACTATTTTTACCTCTATACACAAACATGATAGAATTTATATTAGTAAATACAAGTAAAAATTATTCTCTTTTATATCTAAGTAAAATTTAATTAGAAATTCCTTTTATACGTACTATTCTTCATATCTTATACATATTAATAGTACTTAAAAAATTAGGGACATTTACATAAAAATGAAATCTACACAAAACTAATTAATTCAGTAAAAATGAAAACTTGCAAAAGGGAGGATAAATCTCACATCAATTGTTCTTTAAAATTACCAAATACCCAAAAAAAAAAAATTAATAATTTAAAAAATATATATATAATAAATCTCACATCAAAACAGCCTGTTTAGTTTAGTAGACCCGCTCAACGCGGAACTCATCGTGGACTATTCCAGTCAGACCAGATCTATAACAAAAGCTCCTACCTCCAACCACAGTTCTACACGTGGCTCCACACCCCTCACTTTCAACACAAAAAATCAAAAAAATAAAAAAATAAAATCCCAACTGCACTACATTCTACACGTTAGCGCATGTTAGAGCGACGCCCACGTCGCTAACTTAAGCATGTTAGGGCCGGCTGGGCGGCAACGCATGTTGTCAGATAGATACCGGCCACCACTGACAAATATCACCATATATCGTCCTCAAAAAAAATATCACCATACACATTGATCATTTAATTATAAAAATGGTACAAACACATCCAGATGTTAAAAATGAAATCTTCTTATAACTATGGGAGTTAAAATGTACCACTTCGTATGTATTAAGCCTTTCGTTTGGACAGGTGGTTGGCTTTATAATTCCTTTTACTATTTTTATTATTTTAATTTAGGATTAAAAATCTCGTTTAAGAAAGATTTTTGACTTTTTAATTTTTTTAAATGTAATAATTATGAGTTGAATATAATGTTTTATCTTATTAAATTAAATATTTTATTTTATTTTTGTTAAAATAATCATAAAAAAAAAAAAAACTACCTTTTGGCTTCCAAAACGAAGCCAAAAGTGATATTCATCAATATTATAGGAGATTTGTTTTGGTATTAAAGTGATATTTTTTAATAATATAAGGGTTTTGGTGTAAATAATTCTTTAAAAAAAAAAAAAAACCAGAAATCTGACGCACCGATTGGATTGACATTGCCCCAGTAAGTCTCGACCTGAGGATGTTGCAGAGGATCTCCGTACACCTCACTGGTGCTCGTTAGCAAGAACCTCGCTCCTACTCTCTTCGCCAACCCCAGCATGTTCAGAGTCCCCACCACATTCGTCTTGTGAATCCCCAAAAAATCATAATTAAGGAAAAACTCCAAAAACCCAATTCACAAAAATCTCAAATTGAAAAACACTTTTCTTACAAACCAAAAAATATATTTTAAAATAAAAAAAAGAAAAGGATATGATAGTCTTGACAGGGTTGAACTTGTAATGGACAGGAGAGGCAGGGCAAGCGAGATGGTAGATCTGATCGACCTCAAGGAGTAGAGGCTCAACGACGTCGTGTCTGATGAGCTCGAACCTAGGGTTTCCAAAATGGTGCATCACGTTCTCTTTCCGACCCGTGAAGAAATTATCGACGACGATCACGCTGTCTCCTCTCGCGATCAGACGGTCCACCAGGTGGCTACCCACGAACCCGGCTCCACCCGTGACGACGATCCGAAGACCCTTGCGTTTGAGCCCTAGGGGGATCTTCCCGCCGCCCGAACTGAACACGGAATGGGCCTGGTAGAAGATTCGGTGAGTTGGCTGAGTTAACTCGGAGGACAGGAAGTGAGAGTGGGAGATCGGAGAGGAGGAGGGGAGGAGAGTGAAGAAGAGGGTGGCGATGACAATGCCGAGGAGGACGAAGAGGAGTCTTTGCTCCCGGAGGATGTATCGAATCGGCCGAATCTCGAAGAACCATGGCTTAGTAGGCTTCGGCGAGTATGAATTGGACTTGGGTTGGGTCTCGTGACCTCTGTAGATCAACTCGGACCCCATATTCCTCTCTCTGTCTCTCAGAGCCGGATCTATGATTGGGGTATGGAGAGAGGTAATAGTGTTAATGGTGCTGAATTAGGAGAAGGCGCCGATGGTGATGGTGATGGTGGTGGTGATGGTGGTGGTGGTGGTGGTGGTGGTGTGGCGGCCGTGGTTTGAAGTTGCCTGAATTCGCTTACTTTTCTTCTCCGGCGAGTGACTGACGAAGGTGGTGCAATTGATTAAAAAGGTTTGGTTTAAATAGGTGTGCTGCTAATAGCACCAACAATTCATCCTTTTAACCCCCACTCATTAGAAAGCAAAATAATTAGAAAGCAAAATAATTGAGGTCTCGTTTAGGGACAAATTAATTTAATAATTTTATGATTATTTAATTAAAATATGAATTAAAAAAATTAATATGTTCAGAATAATTTTTTAATTTTTTATAAAAAGATGTATAAAAAGTAAAAAGAAAAGAAAATTTTTGACTTTTTATATGGATTGTTGACTTTTTGATTTTTTTGTTAATTTTTTGACTTTTTGACTAAAAAAGCTACTTACCAAACGAGGCCAGATTACAATTTTATCTTAAAATAATAAATTATAATAATCTTTTTTAAAATAGAAATAAATTAAATTGACTACCACAAGGTGTAGGTGTTGTTTGACAATATTTACCGTTTATCATTTTTTATTTGTAAAAAATATTAAATATATGAAAAATGTCTTAGACTCCCAGTGGGTGGGGTGACCCCACCACTCACACTAATTTTTGATTGGCTGAATTTTATTTATTTATTTATTTTCTTGTTTAGGTCTTCCTCTCACAGCCCCCCACGTGGGGTGGGGGTGCTGGGAGTCACCCCCACTAAGGGTATGCAACACTGCCGTAAATATATTTATGTTTATTTTGAATAAAACAGAAAAAAAATGTTTGGTATATAAATATTTTAAAATTAAGTGAAAATGAGGTGCTAGGAGAGATAATTGTTAACGTTTGGAAATGGTGGCTCAAGGTGATTGTTGGCCACAAAAGGTAATAACCGAAGGTGGTTGTTATCAGTAAGGTAGTTGTTGGCCACGAGAACTAGTAGGCGAAAGTGATTGGCCGGTGGTCAGCCACATAACATGGTAGTTGAAAGTGATTTTCAAAAAAAGGTGGTAGCCAAAAGTGATTATTGTCGATAAAAGATGGTTGGCGGCAATGATAGATGGTTAGCGATAATGATAGATGGTTAGCGATTAAGGGAGGTGGTAGCAAAAGTGGTTGGCGAATGAGGTTATTAGTGATTGCAGCTGATAGTGATGAGTAGGTATGGCAACGAGGCAGGTTTGGAGTGGGTTTGTCATCCTCCACCCCATATCATATCGGGGCAAGGCGAGAGTGGGACAAGGACGGGTTAATTTTGTAACTTTAAAAATTAAAAATAAAAGCATTATAGGTAATAACTTATAATTAATTAGAGTTAAAAGATGTAATATGATAAATAAATAAATGAAAATGAATATTAAGTATATTGTTTTAATATTTTGGTTTTATATATTGAAAAAAAATAAATTATATACATAAAAATATATTTAATAAATAAAATCAACGTAGGGATGAGGTAAATCAGGGCGGGACGAGCAAAAGGTGGTAGTCGGAAAGGGTGAGAGAAAGAAGAAAAAAATAAATAAAAATTATAAAAAGTGAAGATTTTTTTTGTGTTTACAAAATTTTGTAAACTATTTACAATTTTTTGAAAACGAACGTAAAAAGCAAATGACTTTTTGTTTACAATTTTCAAACAATTTTATAAACATAAATAAAAAGATTAGAAATATAAATGTTACCAAACAATTCCTTAATTTTTTAATTCACATTACATTTGCTTCTTTCTAGTAATCAAAACTAATCAAAAGTGGAGCAAGAATGAGTTTGTTTTGTAATTTTAAAAATAAGTTATGCTACAAACTCCAAATATTTTACCAAACCTTTGTGGGACCCACACACATGTGAATTTGTGTGAGTCGACGGTGCAACCCGCGAGGGGATCCCGTCAATCAACTTCCTTGCGCCTTACGGGTTTACTCACCCGTTGACTAGCACACATGTCAGACTCCTTGGTCCGTGTTTCAAGACGGGCCGAATGGGGAGCTCGCAGGTCGCCTTGGCCAGCATGCCTTGCCTCAACGTTGCCCAGCGTGCCTTGCCTCAGCATTGCCCAACATGCCATGCCACTACGTTGCCGAGCATTCCAAGGCCAGCATGCCACGCCACAGCGTTGCCCAGCATTCCAAGGCCAGCATGCCGACTCATGTGTGAGATTTGATATAATATTTGGGATACATAGCATTTTTCTTTAAAAATAGGATAATGATAGAATGGGTAATGTACCAATAAACCCCAAATCACAAATTGTAGATAATATGACATATTATGAATAATAATTTATAATTAATAATTGTTAAAAGATGTAAAATGAATGTCAAGTAGAATAATTTAGTGTCTAATCTTATTATATTGGAAAAAAATAGAATAATATATATTCTATATATTTAATAAATATAATTGGAGTGGAGAGCAGAATCATCCTCGTCCCATTTTCTTATCAGGGCAAGGGATACGAGGCGATGGAAAATTGATATCCATATAGATGAAAAAGCATATGTATGTTTTTTTTCAATAAAATGAATATATTACTTTATTTATTCTTATGATTTCACAGCATGCGCATTAGGGGTGGGCAACGGTTTATCCAAACCGCTCAAACCGCCCAACCCGCATATAAGTGGGCGGTTTCGCAAACATAATGCGGGCGGATGCGGTTTGAAATATGACAAATTTGCGGGTTGCGAGCGGGTCGCGGTTTAAACCAGCAAAAACCGCCCGCACTTTAATTATTATTATTATTTTTTTTTTTATATACTAACTTTGTAACTTTTACATGAGCACCATTATATTCTCTATGACACTAAGATCCTTATTTTTAAGTATTTCTTAACTTTCTTAATGCCGTAGAATTATCAAGTCCTAAACTTAGTTTCTTATATGATTTTCATTGGTGATTCATCCACTTTTTCCTAATAAAATTTTTCTTCTCGATAGAACTTATAGTTTGATTATTGATTACTGAACTGGCAATTCTAATTGAGTACAACCTTTAATGCATTGATATACATTTTTTTCATAGCAAAAATGCTAGTGTAGGGTCTCTTTGTTTTGTGTACTTTCATTTAATGCATTGATATTCAATTTTTATTTGTAAACTCATCAAAAAATTGTTATCACAAATATATAAAAAGAATCTGATGCCTAAATTCGCTGGAAAAAAAAAACTCGAAAATTAATTTTTAAAGAAAAAAGTGTAAACCGCAAACCGCCCGCAACCGCCCGCACATTAGCAAACCCTATCCGCATAAACCGCAAACCGCACTGCGGGCGGTTGCGGATTAACTTTTTTCCAAACCGCATAGATGCGGGCGGGTCAAAACTGAACCGCAAACCGCACAAAACCGATCCGCGAACACCCCTAATGTGCATTAGCTATAATCACTTTAAACTTTACTAATATTGAAGCCATGAGCATTAAGGCCAAGTTTGAGAAGATTAAATAAGTGCACTTTTTGACTTTTTATGAAATATGGGTTGGATTTTGGTTGGGTTTGAAGTGATATGTTAGAGAGGTGATGTGACTTAAATGAGATGATGTGACTTAAATAGGATAGTGACTTTTTGACTTTTTGAATTTTTTGGAAGATGCCAAACTTGGCCTTAGTCGCTTTAAATAACCAGTGTTTTTAGTTATAAAAATACGACAAACAAGTGAATTATATAAGACACTTGTTTTGAAAATTAACATAGTGTTATTGATTTCAAAAGAAAATATAAGGTCTCGTTTGGAAAGTGGATTGATTTTTTTGGTTATTTTAGTCTGGGAGGCTGGGACTAAAAAGCTTGTTTAGAAAGGGTTTTTGGCTTTTTTAACTTTTTGTAAAATAAATAATGTAATAATTATGAATTGGATATGATGTTTTGTCTTATTAGGCTAAAAAATCTATTTTATTTTTTGTGGCTATTTTAGCCAAAAAAAGCCGCAAATAATGTAATAATTATGAATTGGATATGATGTTTTGTCTTATTAGGCTAAAAAATCTATTTTGTTTTTTGTGGCTATTTTAGCCAAAAAAAAGCCGCAAATCCATCTTCCCAAACGGAAGCTAACCTTTTTATTATTTTTGAAATAATTTTATACAAATTTTAATATATATTTATATTAATTTATACTAATATATAAAATAAAGTTTGGAATTGTTGTTGATTGTCACAATTTTTTAATTTCTCAAAATATCCCCAATTATGATAATTGCTTTGAACTTATTTTTTAAAATCCAATAACTTCTTACATCTAAATGTTTCAAAATCGTAATTGTCAAATGTAATTATAAATTACATGCCACTAGTTAAATAATATGTAAAGATAATCTATCCTTTGAGTAGTGTTTAGTTTATTAGAATAAAGTGAAATAAAATGATTATTTCATTAAAATATTAATTGTTATTTTTAATTGACTAAAAAAATAAAAAAATATATATATTATAATTGAAATCGTTATTCACTATTGTAAAATAATAAACATCTTATTATATTTCATCTTACAAATATACCATTTAAGATTTGATTAAAATATTAATCGTCTCCTATGATTCTGGAAATTACATTCCATTCCTTAAGATTTCTAATTTTATAATAAATTGCCATTTTTTATTAATAAATTATCAAGTTAATGGGGATTTTTTTAGGATCCTTGATATTAAGATTTTATAGTATAAAGGACATCTAATATTTTCATAATGTCTAAGGTCCCTCAAATTGATCAGAAAAAATTGGATCCAGAGAAATTCTCTATACTTTCCAGAGAAATTCTAGTATGGACTTTCCAGAGAAATTCTCTTCAAAATTAGAGAAATTCCATTTTCTAGCTTTTCACTCATCTCTCAGACCCACTTCATCTTCTTCACCATCTTCATCACAGACCTTCAACCTAAAAATATTCAAATTTTAAGTTTCTTCCCATTTCACACATTTTCTCAGCAACCAAACACGCAACCACTGGAATTTCTCTAGACCTAGAGAAATTCTCTCCAAGGTCAGATAAATTTTATTTTCTAGCTCTCTACTCATCTCTCAAACCCACTTCATCTTCTTCACCATCTTCATCACAGACCTTCAACCTAATAATATTTAAATTTTAAGTTTCTTTCCATTTCACACATTTTTTCAACAAC